AATTTTTCTGATTCTCAAGACTTACCTTGCATAAAGACACATGAATTGGAACCGAGATAGTTAATTGGTCGAATGAACTCTTTTGGTACTTTTCGAAAAGAAATCACAGCCGATTTAGAGTATGCAATGCATAAGACATGGCGTGCCAATGCTCAAATGCTCGATCTTGCCATTGGTGGTCATCCATGGCCAACAAAAGACCAAATTATTGATCGACTTACAATGGCCATCAATGAACTGACTTCCTGTCGCGAGGTTCTATCAGGTACAAAATCAGATCATATTGGTTACTATGACGAAAGCAAACAAAAAATTGGCAACTATGGAATGTCTTCATCTGCAAACGATAATAAAAATTAATTGATTTTTTTTCGCATATTTTATTTATACAAGCAATGTTAAGATTATTCTATCCAGTTTAATATATATTGACTACATGATAATAGAACTCCAGTAGTTTTTTTTTCTTTTATATATAAATAAAAATGAGAATTTTTTTCTCCATATCTGTTCAAAAAAAAAACATAAGGAGTAGATCTCATATTTGACGATATCTGCATCTAAACTCACCAACATAGATAAAACTTCCACTAATGAAGATTTCAACATACTGAATGCTTATATGCTAGACGAATAATATTTAGTTGTTCGAATGAAATAATTAATGTTGATTCATGACATAGAATAATATAACAATAATAATGTGTAGAGGTATTTTAGATTGTATGAGAAAACTGCATATTTTGAAAGAATAGATAAATAAGAAATTCTCGAAAGATAATCAATAACTATGATATAAAACAAAATATTGTGAGCCATTCATGTTCTTGTCATATAATATGTAGGGTATGTGTGGATGTAGAATCAATAAAAATGAATATCCACAAGCACATCTGTACCCATAGATAGATACCTCGCACATAATATAGCGATTCTGAATTGTTTTCATCGGTTAGATTTCGTTTAATTGAGTGTGGTAGAAGCAGGACTTATCATTTATTACCACATCACATAGTCCCCTTGCAACTGATCCTAATTTCGGTAAATTTTCTTTGTATATTCGATTTCGTTTAGCTCGTTGAGAATCAGTCGGATGCTTGGGTATATAACGAGAAGTTATTTTTCTAAGATTTAAATGATCGGAGATTATTTGTTGAATAGTTCGATGGGTGAGATCAGTTTGTGCTTGCAGCTCTTCCACTGTAATATAAGGGTTAGTATTGATAATGCAGTAAACTTGTTCAACAGTTTCAGATATGGTCTCGGGAACATGTCTTCCAGGTTGTATTTCGTATTTAATCTCTTGTCCACCTTCACGAAAATATTTGGATCATTTTGCGACAGTTCTAAAACAAGGAGTTTCATCATGAATAATTGTTGGTTGAGTATTAAGTGCAGCACGCACTTTGTAAAATTAAAAATTGTTCTCATTCATCTGAAAAGAAGCATGCATTCCTTTCTCTCTATATACGTACATACATATTGGTGGCTAAGTGTCAGAGAAGAATAAAGAGAATACTAATAGGATGATGTTATATTCAAAAATAAAATATGATCTGGTACAACCAGCACATAACCAACCAAAATAGGTTTTATACATAATTTAGCATTATAATATTAGTTGAAGTACAATGAAATAGTATGAAAAGATAGAGCATTTTTCCTCTATCGAACTATATAGATTGAGAAAGCTATTTAAGCTTACTATACGGTATTAAAGTATTATTGCCCGTAGTTATGCCCTAAGTAGACATTGCCCGGTTCTGATATTCTCGCTCTAGAAAAGGGTGGGGTGTGGGTGTGGGTGTGGGTGTGGGTGTGGATGTGGGTGTGGGCGGGAGTGTGGGTGTGGGTGTGGG